CCGGTCGGACAGACCGCGTCGTCGGAAATTAAGCGATAAGCGGTCGATGTAAAAGCGGAAGGTTGGGTGAAATGAGTACTGTATGACCATGTTTCTCCGACGAAGTCTCGACTGACAATAATGCTGACAATGGACGTTAGATAAACACGCATTGTTTGCAACTGGAAGCTTATCACCCATTATATCAGAATCGTCAACAACAGAGTATACAGATAAGATGTTATCATTTAATTCCTTCCAAAGATAAACACTATGCAAATATCCACGAAACGGCAGTTGTAGTCTTTTCTGCTAGTGTTTTAAAACACTAATTTGAGCAACGTTATTTCGCAATTTCGATCTTTTGTAAACCTGGGATGATGTATCAAGGTCTAAAGTAACCGTTTTATCAATTTTTGAAAAATCAAGAAAAAAGTGAAAATTTCCCTTCTCACTACCTTAAACCATTTGAATAAAGAGAGTTGAATAGTTTATGGAACCATATAATGTAAATGATGCTTTAAGTTTAGCAAAGTCTACCATAATATAGAGATTAATTATAATAAATACAAGATAGCTAAATGAATTTTTAAATGTTTTAAAGTACTAGGGCATAACTATTATGCAATATGTCTGTCACTCAGAACTAATTTAACATTGATTCAATGCATGCTGCTTCACAACAGACATGGCACAAAGCATTTTTGATTGAAGCTAAACAAATATGGCCAACAAAATAAACAAAACCATTGCAATATTTGCATAAATTGAGATTTTAAGATGGTTTTCTATTACAGTGATGGCAGAAACACTTGGCACAATTTCAGGAAAGAATATGAGTAGTGGAAATTTATGAGGACTTGCATCCAGCACACACAATTTGCATAAAAAAGTATTAAACTAAAACAACTACGGAGACAGATCGACAGAATGACAACCTGCTTTGGGGGATCTGGGAAATATTGAGGAGTCATATTGGGATCACAAATTTTAAGTAGAAGGTGACACCCCATATTATTAACTTGTAATAAAGTACAGGTGTATCCAATTTTACCACTATTCAATACCATCATGTTACATAAAGGTATCAGCACCAAATGTGGTAACACCTTAGTTAGAGGAATGATCATGGAGGGGATCTTTAAAGTTGTATTTTCAATAAAATTTGATACGAGTAAACAAATAAATAATAAATACAGCACCAAATACGGTATTCCTAAAATGTATGCATCCGAGATTTCTTATGAATTACCAAGCAGTTCTATAGATTATGTTGTGACTCGAGTTTTCTCCATCTTATGGTGTCATTAAATTATTGAATCGCTTGACGAATTTTTTGATGCTCAAACATCGACAATATTACAAAATCAATATTTCATGTAAAGCATATTCCACTAAGATAAGTCAGAGATACACACCAAACTCTTGAGTTGTTGCCCAAATATATATTACTTATTTGGAATTTATTGGTTGACCTTTTTTCACTCATGTTGACAAATATTGCAGCAAGTCATTACTCACAAATGAAAACATTTTCAAAATTGAGTTTTAGGCAAGTACTTAAATTTTAACGAGCTTTCAAATAAGTTACGGTGATAATACAACTTAAAGATTGATAGTAATGTGTAGGCAAATCAAAAGAAAAAAAGAATTAATGATAAATTTAGAATTAATGTACAGATTAGTGGTGATTATTTGCAGTAACCCTTGCAGCAAGTAATATCCTTACCCTGTCCAGTTTTTTGATGAAGTCTTTTCGGGCATACCAACTGAAAAGAGAAAATAACATTGATGATGAAAAAAAAAAAAAAAAAAAAATTCGGAGGACAAACTACAATGCTCAGGGAAGGTTTTTCACTCAATCCATCACACTAAACACATTTCTGTTGATCATTTATTAATCAGGACTGAGAACCCTAGCCTGATTTCAATCTCTGCACCTACCTAAGTCTTTATCTGTAAATTCCGGGACTGAGAACACTGGCCTGATTTGAATATCTGCACCTACCTAAGTCTATCTGTAAATTCCTGGACTGAGAACCCTAGCCTGTTTTGAATAGCTGTACCTACCTAAGTCTTTATCTGTATATTCCTGGACTGAGAACCCAGGCCTGTTTAGAATCTCTGCACCTACCTAAGTCTTTATCTGTAAATTCCTGGACTGAGAACCCTGGCCTGTTTAGAATCTCTGCACCTACCTAAGTCTTTATCTGTAAATTCCTGGACTGAGAACCCTGGCCTATTTAGAATCTCTGCACCTACCTAAGTCTTCATCTGTAAATTCCAAGACAGTGTTCTCTTCATTTAGATTTTTATTAAAATCGATGGCTATGTCACTCTCTCTTTTTTTCAATGCCTTGATTGTATCTTGAACATCTTTCTCCAGATGAAGCCCTGCCAACAGAAAAAGAAACAAGTTGCAGCACTGTCTCATGTATAGTTACCATATTAGCACTAACTATCAAAAGTACATTTAAGCCTAAAGTAGATGCAAACCAGCTCAAGTTAGTGGATGTATTATTCTGCATGACAAAACATGTAATCTCCATCATTTAAGCCTAAAGTAGATGCAAACCAGCTCAAGTTAGTGGATGTATTATTCTGCATGACAAAACATGTAATCTCCATCATCCAGTAAATTTACATGTACAAAGCAGATAAATATTCGCTAATAATATTTGTTACTGCATACTAATGTACAAACTAATATAAACACATTTACTCAGACTAGTGGTCGAAAAAAAAAATCAAATTTGCGATGTTCCAATATGTGAGTGAGTGATGATGTCTACATGTATACTGTTGATTTTCACTGCTGAATCATTCACATCGTCTGTACACAGGACATCCATTTAAAAATAAGTGATGATACTTCATGAGGTTCTGTATTAATAAGTCATTCCCAGCATGCAACAATAATTATTTAAGACTCCTGCTCACTTTGTAGTTTTGACTGTATTCTGTATTTCTCTCACTGCCAATCTTATTGATATTATATATGTGTATTTGTATTTTCTTTTTGTGCACTTAAAAAGTGCAGTTTTTTTTTTTTTTAATTCTGACAAAGAGGGCTAAAATTTTGTATCAAAATATGTTTTAACGTTGGTAAGCAAGTGACCTGAAGGCTGCAATAGCTTTGCTGTTTCAACAGTCTTCAGTGTTTATATATTACCATTTCGTTTTCCGTGTTTGATCAACTTTTCAAGATATCTCTTATTCTCAGCCTCCAGCTCCTCCATATTGATTTTTTCACGCAGAGACACAAGGTTATCATACACATCTTGCCGCATGCTGCAAGAATGATACACCAAATGTTAGGAACAGGGTTCAGTTTAGACAGGTTACTGGATTATACAGGATTCATTTTAGACAGGTTACTGAATTACATAGGGTTCATTTTAGATAGGTTACTGAATTATACAGGGTTCATTTTAGACAGGTTAATTAATTATACGGAGTTCATTTTAGATAGGTTACTCGGTTACACAGGGTGCAGATTACACAGGTTACTTAATTACATAGGGTTTATTTTAGACAGGTTAGTGAATTACACTGGGTTCAGTTTGGATAGGTTACTGGATTACACATTGTTCAGTTTAGACAGGTTACTGAATTACACTGGGTTCAGTTTACACAGGTTACTGAATTACACTGGGTTCAGTTTAGACAGGTTACTGAATTACACTGGGTTCAGTTTAGACAGGTCACTGAATTACATAGGGTTCAGTTTAGACAGGTTTATGAATTACACAGGGTGCAGATTATACAGGTTACTGAATTACACAGGGTGCAGATTATACAAGTTACTGAATTACACAGGGTGCAGATTACACAAGTTACTGAATTACATACATGTAGGGTTCATTCTAGACAGGTTACTGAATTACACAGGGTTCAGTTTAGACAGGTCACTGAATTACATAGGGTTCAGTTTAGACAGGTTTATGAATTACACAGGGTGCAGATTATACAGGTTACTGAATTACACAGGGTGCAGATTATACAAGTTACTGAATTACACAGGGTGCAGATTACACAAGTTACTGAATTACACAGGCTTTAGTTTAGACAGGTTACTGAATTACACTGGGTTCAGTTTAGACAGGTTACTGAATTACACTGGGTTCAGTTTACACAGGTTACTGAATTACACTGGGTTCAGTTTACACAGGTTACTGAATTACACTGGGTTCAGTTTACACAGGTTACTGAATTACACTGGGTTCAGTTTAGACAGGTTACTGAATTACACTGGGTTCAGTTTAGACAGAATACTGGATTACATAGGGTGTAGATTACACAGGTTACTGAATTACATAGCATTCATTTTAGACAGGTTACTGAATTAGACAGGGTTTAGTTTAGACAGGTTACTAGTTCAGAATTACACTGGGTTCAATTTAGACAGGTTACTGGGTTACACTGGGTTCAGTTTAGACAGGTTACTGAATTACACTGGGTTCAGTTTAGACAGGTTACTGGATTACATAGGGTTCATTTTAGACAGGTTACTGAATTACACTGGGTTCAGTTTAGACAGGTTACTGAATTACACTGGGTTCAGTTTAGACAGGTTACTGAATTACACAGGGTTTAGTTTAGACAGGTTACTAAATTACACTGGGTTCAGTTTAGACAGGTTACTGAATTACACTGCGTTCAGTTTAGACAGGTTACTGAATTACACTGGGTTCAGTTTAAACAGGTTACTGAATTACACTGGGTTCAGTTTAGACAGGTTACTGAATTACACTGGGTTCAGTTTAGACAGGTTACTGAATTACACTGGGTTCATTTTAGATAGGTTACTGAATTATACAGGTTCATTTTAGACAGGTAATT